AGCAGCCGTGCAATTGAAAAATGAACCTGGAACTGAAACTATTCCCAGGGGCAGCAGCAACGCACCAAAACAGTGTCGTTAAACTAAATCCGCAAGCCCAATTAGTGCAACCCAATTCCAGCAACATGTTCAATCCTAGCAGAAACCAAGTTTGGCAGCAACATCCAGGTGCAACAGCCCAAAGCTTCCAATCATCCCAAAGCTGCTTTTGTTGACCAAGAATATTAGCCTAGTTGACCAAGGCCAAAGCCCAATCTGCAGAAAAATCAATCAACAATTAAAGAAAAGGCCATTTTAGAAATTAAAGAAAATAAAAGCCTATCTAAACAAAAATAAAGGAAAGAATTCTAAAAAGAAATACTAATTTCCTATTTATGACAAACACTAAAAAAATACTTCTAAAATCCTAATTTTAACAACAATTTTATAAAACTAAAGATTTAAAAGAAAAACCTAAAAATAACCTAATTCTAAACAATAAGAAACTAAAATGAACTAAGAAAGACTTCTAAACCTAGAAAAATATGCAAATATAGAGAGTTATCAGTGTTCTTGTGTTTCTTTATGTTCTATGTGTCTTTTCTATTTTTGAATCATTCCTCATTGTTTATGTTGGTTATATATGTTATTTGGTGTCATTTTAACTTTTGAATCCATCCATGTTGCTTAGAAGTCGTGTTTAGTCCTTTACTTGTCTTTATTTTCAAGTTAAACCTTGAAAAGATCACCAACAATATATGTTTGTGTGTTTTTCGAAACTGCATCTTTTGGGAACCTTTGAGTGCTTTTTCTTTCCATATTTGTTGTTAGTTCATCAACAAATTCATAGAGTTAGGTTTCATACATGTTTTTTTTTAGCTTCTAATCAAAATTTTGATTCTAGGAGGATTTCTCTACTATTATGTGTGTGTGACCTTATACACCTTTAAAGGCATCTTTAAAATCTTATTTGGGGTGTTTTTTTGTGTGCATTATGTTATGGAAAGTTATAAAAAAAAACAAGAGACAAAATAATAGGAAAAAGAAAAAGTAACTAAACAACTACATATGGGAGAATTTTCTCATCCGGTTTCCTAAAAATGTGTCAAAATTTCACTGTTCTCTCTACTTTACTTTATAAAAGTCCTTGTAATTATTATTTATATTTTTTCCAATTTATTACTTTATGAATAATTAATTAAAAAATATAAAAATAATACAATTTAAAAAATATATAATTTTAATAAATTTTCTTACAAAATAATTATTTAATTAAAAATAAATTAATTTTTAATTTTATTAAATAAATATTTTTATTTATTAGTTATCTAATTTAAAAAATTATATGTTATTATTATTATTATTATTCATTTAATTTTTTCTTGTTTATTCTTAGTTATTTTCTCCACACAATAGTAGAGTGGAGGAGAAGAGTGAGTGGGAACAAGAGTTTCCTTCGCAAGCGGATGGCCATACGGTGTCTACCTGAACCCTCTTTCTTTTCATCCTAAAGTTTTCCTTCTTTCGCACTTTGCAATAAGACAAAACGCATCGCATTGAAATCCAAATCCCATAACCCCCCGGTATCCATGGATTCCTTCCAGCAACATCACAGCTACATGAGACCACCGCAACCGCCACCTCCTCCGCCGCATGCGGCGGATCCCCACCATCACCCGCACCACTTTCACCAGATACCGCCGCCGCCACCCCAAGCTCCCTGGTTGTCCTCTCAATTCCAATACCACCCTTCGCAGACCCCTTCCCCTCCGCCACAGTGGCAGCAACCACCGCCGCCGCCGCCCCCTCCTCCTCCGTCGAACGCATATTCGTACCATCCAAGCCGGTTCCCTCCTCCTCCGCCTCGCTCTCATGCGCCTCCTCATCAGTTCACCCCTCACTCCCACATTTCTCAGCCTTATCCTCAGGTGAAATATCCTTCTTGCCCTTCGTGTTTTTGTCTCTTTGGTTTGCTAGGGTTTCTTCTGTTATAAGTTCACTATTTGCCTGAAATTTTTGTAGGAATGGGGCAATCCAAACTTGCAACCTAATCAGGGCTATCCAGGTTAGCTGTTGCTTTTTCTTTTAATGTTACGTTAGAAACGTTGTTTTCGTGTTCATGCCACAATTAAGGTTTTGTTGTTTATTATTGGTGTGCGGAATAGTTTGAGGTTATGTTCACTTGAGAGGGAAACATTTGTACAGAAAAGGAAGAAAATACGGAGTGGGAAAAACGAATCTTGCATTGTTTTGTTAGCTTATGTTTGATAGTTGATTTAATACCAAGTTATTTGGGTCAAATACAATGTTTTTTTCTTTATGATTCATTTGATTTTGTATGTATTCATGAGATTATTGTGAGTCGTGACTTGACACCGAATATTGGCTATGATAGATACTTGCGTGTGTCTGAGGAATTACTGCAGTTTGCAACTTGTTTAAATGATTATTACTCTGTTAATGTGCGTTGCTTTCATTGGAAAAAAATTAACAGCGTAATTTTATTGATTTTGTATGCCTCTGTGATTTTTAAGCTCTATATGACATCTCGGAAAATACTTGCATGTGTCTGAGGAATTACTGCACTTTTAAACTGTTGTTTGCAACTTGTTAAATGGTTATTAGTCTGTTAATATGCGTTGCTTTCATTGGAAAAAATAACAGCGTAATTTTATTGACTTTGTCTCTGATTTTTAAGTTCTATATGACATCTCGGAAACCCAATCCCCGAGCTTCTGTTTGTCCATTCTTAATGCAGCGGATATTGTGGTAATTTGACATAATGTTGTATTGGTAGCTCATAACAATGAAGAAGATTGGGCTGCGAAGGCAAGAGCTTGGGCAGCTAAGGCTGCCATGGAAAGTCAGCATCCACAAACACATTTTTCACCTGCTGGAAGATTGCACGAGCAAAATCACTATCATGATCAGTTCCAGCAATCGGTTGACTCACATTATACTGTTGTGCAAAACCAATCTCATTCAACATCAAGCTATCAACAATTTTCCTACTTAGATACTTCTGCGCAGCGACTTTCAGGACATTCTCAGGATGCTGTACCTGTCAGTTTGGAGACATCTTATGCTCAAGATGGACATTCGTACAGTGCCAGAGATGGGACCAGCATCAGAGATTCAAATGTTTCATTTGAACAAGGGAGCATGCAAGCAAATCCATCAGTTCATCAGCAGGAGGTACCTTCTAGTTATAGTTCTGTTGCAGGTAATTGTTTATTTAGTTTATTGAAGTTGCAAGTGAAGCTTCTGTGGAATGGATCATAAATCAATATTCTGGAATTTTCCTTTAATGTATGTATGTGATACAAACCTGTCAAAATTTGGTTAAAAGATATTGTTAGTTGGAATCACATGAATAATGATTTAATGACAGTGTTATCGGATATCAGTTAAAAGGAAAATATCGTGTACCTAAAAGTCCTTTAAAAAAAATATTGGAAGCCATAACGGGTTATTATAGAAGCATCATGGACCAAACAAATACAATATATGCATATAGATAAATGAAAAATGCAGAAATATACTTGAAAGGCAACATAATGTAAAACAATCATATCATTAATCATAATAATGAAATATAATAGTAAGTCTAGACGTTCGAATAAAATAAAATCAAAGCAAAACACCACCATGTTCAAATAAATTAACTACTGTGGTGTTAGATTTATATATTAGTGAATAATTATAAAATACAAAAGAAGGGAAAGAAATCGGGAGGGTGGGTTGTGCTGCTATTGTAGAAACAAAGAACAAACAGGAAAAAGAAAAATAAATGAGGATGAACCACGGTGGGTGGATGATGGTGGCACAATGATGGGACGAACCAAGGTGGGTTGTTGCCATGCAGAAGGAGGCAAACCTTAGTGGGTGGCACTGCTGCAAAAGGACAAACCAAGTGCTATGGTGGGACGAACCAGGTGGTGGTGGTGGTTGCACAACTCACAGGTGGTGGCAGTGGTGGCAACATGGCGAAATGTAGTTGATTACAAAGAGTGTGGTGCAATGAAGTGAGGAGCAGGTAGGGTTTTTTATTTTTTGTTTGGGTTTGGGTCAGGTTGTGGGTTGTATGACCCAATTCTTTTTCAAAACAAAAATTCAAGTGGGCTTTGATCAAGTTGTGTACAACCCAGAAAAGAAAAAAAAACTAGGATTACATGCAGCTTGAATTGGGTCACTCTGACATGAAGACTTCTTCAGTAAGAAGACATGCATGGCAGTGGCAGCATAATTTCTGTTGTGGCCAATCTGCAGCACTATACTACGGTGCCCAAAGTGGATGTGATGACCCATCACAGAAAATCTGATTTGCCACGGCCATGCTGTGGCTGCTGGTGACAAACTGCCACTGCACTCCACCATGGATTACCATCTCCAATTTTTTGTAACACCGTAGTATATTATTTCACTCTGATTGCTTAGAGTTTCATTATTTCATTGGAGATTCACTCTGATTTGCTAGAACTGTGCAAAGTTTTAGGAATATCTGTTGTGTTGTGTTTCCATCAATATTGATATGGAGGGGCTACAACTTCCTGCGTGGGATGAAAAACCAAGCCAGTGTTGGGTGGCTGTGGTCAGAATCTTGTGGCAGAGAGGCTTGTGAAGTTGGCTTCTGAAGAATGTTCAAACGCTGTATAATGCTATCCAGATGACTAGACATTACAGCAATTCGAACGAGGGACTGTGTTGATGCTCTGGGATGAGTCTATCGTGGTAAGATGGTCTGGTATGGGTGGTGAGGTTGATTGGAGGTGGCCTCTTCCCGGACCAGTAGATCTGAGAGGGACAATTGCCTAGGAGAGATGAGGGACAACTGGGAAAAGAGTTTCTGTTGCAAAGTTCTAGAATTAATAGAGATAAAGTTAAGGATCCCTATGTTTAAAAGTATATTTTTTGTAATTGATCATGAATCGCTCATGTTCTGATTACCTGCTAACGATATAGGTCTTCTGATATGTTGTTCATGCTGTATTTAGGCATATGTTTAAAAATATAATTTTAGTAATTGATGCTGAGTCACTCATGTTGATTACCCGTTAACAATATAGGTATATAGGTCTTCTGACATGTTCATGCTGTCTTCTTAAACAAGATATTATCAGCCTATCCCAATTCTTGTTTAATGGACTACTAGTATGATTTTATAGATTATTTTGGTTAGAAAAAGAAACATTAATTGATGGGGAGGGGAGAATACAAGGTATCTACCAGACGCACGTACACAAAGCTGAATGAAAACAATGAAAACTAGAATCTCCTTTGAGAAACCACCAAAATAACTTCACCCAAGGATTACGCACCAGTTAATCCCCATTGTCAACAAATAACTCAACAAAACGGGAAACCTAATACTAAAACTCAACAATGCTCACTTTGTCCATAAGGTTTCAAATTTACAGTATCTGGATGAGAAGTGTTTCCTTTTCAGAATCAGTACTTGTCTTTTCTGGATTATGTGGCAGCTAATCTTCAAGGTTGTCCTCTCTGGACAAGTATTGGGAAGGAAAACTGAGAAACAGGATGACATTAATTTTTTCATGTGTTACGAGCTACTAGGACTTGCTGTATTTCTAAATAATAGATGTTTCAATGAGAGCTGTGCTCTTGTTAGAAATATAGGGAACATATATGAATTCGCTTAATTTTTATCATGTCAAGCAAATTATATTTTTCCACTTTTCATGAGAAGCCATTTTTGAGCTGAGAATTAGGTGGCTCAAATTAGGATTGATTACATTTTGGTTGCCACCATCCAAGTTTTTAGCAATAACCAGGCTTATTTATATTTATATATGAAATCAGAAGCCTTGATGAAGTAACCATTAGTGAGAATTGAACATCATTATATAGCTTATTGTTAAGTCAATTTATTTATAATTGTTGCCCCCATAGTTGTTTTTTGTTAGCCATCTGTTCATATTCTGAACATTGTTTATTGTAATAGGATTAATTAATGAGTTGTTGGACCTTATGCCTTTTTTGGCACCTCGCTGCCTTACCTATAACAGTTATTACATCTTCACAAATTTGTTCAGTACAAGGAATGATTAACCCATCTCTTATCAGTTATGCTGGTTTATTTGTGGCCCATGTTATTAGTAGATACAAATACTTAATTTTTCCTATCTAAAGATGAGTTCGAGAATAAGTACTAGTTGGAACTTTGAAATATCAGACAGTGTGAAAGTGCTTTTTAAAGTTTACACATTTTTTGTATCTTGCCTTTTTATTTTTCAGTGGTCATTTGAATATTGACTTGTTGGACCTGGCAGGTAAAGAGGCTGCTGATCAGATTCAACAATCATACTCAGTCTTCCCTTTGTCAAGTTCATCATCTCAAGAACGTCATGTGCAACCATCAATGCATGCACCACCTTTTGCATCTGGCAGCCACTCAGTGGACTCGACTATCAGTCTTGCTGATCAACCATTAGATTTTGCACCCAGGTTTAATCGTGATAATGACTTGCAGATGCAATCAACTTATAGCCATCATGATTCAAGTACTTCAATGAATAACTGGGCCGCTCAAGTGGCCCCTGGTGTTGGTTATCCACCAATTCTTGCCTCTGGACCACAGGTTTTAATTTTGAAACCTTTTGTTTTCCTGGTCAACTTATATATTTATTTTAATTCTTTGGCTCTTGGTTAATTTACCAGCTTGACCCTTCTATCTCCACTCCTGGTCATGTGGCACCACCATTTGGAAGGTTTGCTGGACCCAGCCTCCCTTCAACCATTCCACCAAGTGGTGCACCCTTTACCCTTAGCACTGGAACTACAATTCATCCTCCTGCTTTCTCTGCTGATGCATATGGGGTATCTAGTGTTTCTGATCGTCCTAAGAAGGTAAGTATGTTGCAAAGGTTAATGCTTGTATATATATATATATATATATATATATATATATATATATATATATATATATATTATGTGTGTGTATGTATGTATGTCACCAAACCCCATTTTTCTATTATTTCAGGCTTCAGTTCCAAACTGGCTTAGAGAAGAAATAAAGAAAACAGTCATTGCTGCTCCTGCAGAGAATCTGAAGGAGGAAGCTGCATTTGTAAATGATGGCATTGACAAGCCATACACGAGAGGCGATGAGGCAGATAGTAAAAGCATTGATTCATCTAGATCGGCGGAGGATGAAGAAGATGAAGAGGTTTCATTTTTTTGACTTTAAAGTTTGTCAAGAAAATAAAATTCCATTATCATTTTTAATTTAGTATGGGATTATTTTTTGTATAGGATCAAGTTGAGGTAGCTAGAACTGCAGCAATCAACCAAGAAATAAAAAGAGTTCTGACTGAAGTTCTTTTGAAGGTCAGTTTTATTTAAAATGTAAATTTTTGGTCTTATTGAAGTCTGTAAACTGGATATATCAGAAAAAAATATATTGTAGTTCTAATTACAGTTTCTTCTTAGGTCACTGATGAATTGTTTGATGAAATCGCAACCAAAGTTCTTGCGGAAGATGATCTTACTGCTGAAGGTAAATATTCGTCTGTTGCACTCTCATTTTCTCTTAAATTATATCTATTAATCTAAGTAAATATTTTTATTCTACTAATCTAGTATTAAATAATATAAGTTCTAACAATTTGTTTCCTTCAGTAGGTCACAAGGTTGTCACCTCAAACCACAAGGCACCTGCTTCTCCACCCTCAGTTACAGTTCCTAAGGCATCTGCAAAGGTTTTAGTTCCAGTCAAAGAGAGGGTAGAAAATGATGGTTCCAGTGAAAAATCTAATTCTAGTTCTCCTGGAGATGTTTTAGGTCTTGGAAATTATGGTTCTGATGCTGATGATGAAGACAATGAAATTGAGAGTTCCAGTGTGCCAACTCCTGCAAAAGATGCTGCTTACCAGTCAGGGATTAAGCAACCTTTGGCAGATACACATGATGTATCTGTTAATGGCATTTCACAACTTCCTGAGCATAGTAGATATGAAACTAATTATGTGAATGCTCAGATCAAAACCACGTCTTTACCATCCAATGATTCTGCTTCCGATCAATTGCATGATGACAAGGTTACTAGAGCATCCGATCTTTCACATTCTTCCAAAGTGGTGCCTGAAGATCTTAGGGATAACAGGCTTGATGCCATTCAAAGAGGCCATGATAGATTTAATGGCTTTAGTTCTAAAGATACTTCAGGGATACCAAGATCTGAACTGCTTGGAAAGAGCATTGGTGGGGAAAAAGCAACAGATGATCATTTAGGTTGGGAAAGCAGAAGAAAATCTGAAAAAAATGAGCGGCCTGACAGGAATACTTCTGAGAAAGACTTTGTGAAGGAGGTAAACAGTAGTAAGACCAGGATAGATGAAAAAGGTCATGAGAATCATCGAAGGAAGGATGAAAGAAATCATAAAAGGGAAAAAGCAGATTATGGCAGTGAGTCAAAAGAAAGGGTGAAAGAACACCATTTCCGGCACTGGGAAAAGGCAAAGGAATCAGATTCAAGGAAAAGATCCTCTCATGTTGATGTCAAGGATGATAAAAGGGAAGTTGAAAAATCCCATAGAGGTAGTACCACTGATGATACAAGCCGGAAAAGGGAGCATACAAAGGATAAGGGGGAACATAAATCAAGGCAAAAAGATGCAAGTAATCCTGACAGGCATAGGAGAAGACGTTCATCTTCAGTAAGTAGTAGAGGTAGAACCAACAAGGATCGTGTTGATCATGCTGGTAATTCAAGCGAAGGATCAGATGTCTCAAAAAGGTCTATAGTATATTCTTAAACCTCAATTGTCTGGTTGTTATATATAGTGTCTCATAATGTTTGTAATGCAGGAAGCTGCATTCAAGAAAGCGTGACTTGTCACCGTCTCCTGTCAGATCTAAAAGAAGGTATCATTTATTAAGAGACCCTTACACTGTTCAGGTTTGCAATATTGAAATTTGTATTCCAGAGCATCTTGGACTGTGTTTATAGGCTATATCAGTATTTGTGTGTGTATTATATTTACCATTATAGTAATTCTCATACGATTACTGTTTTATGCTGGACGTTGATAGTGTCAATTGATTCGTTTTCCTTCTCTTGTTATTAATAGAATGTTTGTGATTCACGAGTAGGTTATCTTATTTGTGCCTAAGTGAATCTTAGATGTTGACAGCTTCTCTATATTTTATTTTAATGATTTCAGCTCTAGGTGAATTTTCTCATGACTTAGGTGTGATGACTTAATTGCTTTACTCAATCTTCACCGAAGCTCTATCTTGCTGTCTAAAGGCCAGAAAATGATAAATTTATTTCAGCATTGTTTTTGGACTTTAGCTTTTCTAATATGATGTGTTCTATTCACTTTTTTTCGGTGAAAAGAAAGTTTTACTTGTGTAATTTTGTTCCAATTTTTTTTATCAATATGATGATTGTTTTCTAATTGTGTTTGTGTAGGTATTTTCTGATAAATATTTTATGTATAATTAGATTATTTATGCTGGCCGTTATTTATAAGATTGTGCTGCATCTTAGTGCAACTTACTATTACCGTAAGTTTCAAATTTGAAAATATAACTGTTGACTTATTTTAAACCTTGTTTCTTCGAGAAAAATTATTGAGCCTATGGTTTTGGCAGTTTGAAGATTCTGAAGCTGATACCATGCCACTGATTCAATCTTTTGGTCTTTATATGAAATGTTTTTCATGTTCACGTTTTGCAGTAATTAACACATTTTCGTGCACCTTTTTGTCTACTGTGTGTATTATTATACCTTTCAATTTATCTCTACAATATATTATAAGTAAGACATACAAGAGCAAGATACTTTTGATGTGCACAAATTTTGGCACTTGTTTATCCATAATTGTTAGGATATCTCTACCCTGAAGCTAGAATATAAGACTTTTGACTGTGATCGTATTCATAAGAAACAGAACAAATTTATTGTAATAGACCTCTTCGAATGGAGTGTTGACACTATACCAGGTTGAGTTGTATTTATAGACTTTGTATACTTTAAACTCACCAAGGCAGTACGGTGGTTTCATTTTTAGACAACTTTCGCGGTCTCCTCATAGCAAGCGTTCTCAGCGCAGGCATTCTCCCTATTCTTCTCTTGATTCTTCCAGGTTTGTTGCCATATAGTTTTTCTGAGATTAAGATTTATGTTTTTCAGACAAACTTCCATCATATAAGATTAAGCTGCACAGGTGAATTTGTCAGGCTTCATATTTATTGGTTACTTGGTGCCTTGTTTATTTACTGGTTTCTTTTTATGTAGGGGAAGGAGGTCAAGAACCAGATCACCTGTTCGGCGGCAGAGATGAACGATGGAAACAGAGAGGATTGAGTTTGCATCGTCCGAGGTTCATTCACCAAAACATCAACTAGGAGGGGTAGGGCGAAGCTTGTGATATCTGGTCTTTGGACTGCAAAGGGAATTTTGATTCAAAAGTAATAGGTAGTGATGACCTTTTTCCCATTTTTGTACGTTCAATATATACTGTTGTTTTCTTCCTGGTTTTGCTACTTGGTTAGTATAAAACTAGGTAGAGCTGGATCTGTGGTGTAATGGGTTTTTTATGTGTATAAAAAGGCACGAAAAAATATGATAGATTTAATTTTCATTAGAACTCCGTTATGTCTTCGATCCCATCAATATGAATATTTTCTGAATGCGTTATCTGAATGATTCAGATAAATCTCAATAAATTAATTAGTCTACTGCCCAATTTTCTTGTGTTTATTCCCTTTGAGCCTTACCCATGTGACGCAAATATTTATCAGGCTGGGTTATTTTACTATGCTAAACAAGTAGAATGTGAACGTATTTGGTTTAATGACATTACTTAGGTTAAAAGGAAAGGCAATACACGCTTTTACTGTTTCCGATATAGATATATATATATATATATATATATATATATATATATATATATATATATGAGTTTGTTAACATATGGGTAAGGTCTTTTTTTAGAAAATATTCATATTTCAAAATATAATTAACATATTTAATTTAAATTATTCTATATTAATAAATTTAAACGTCAGTTAAAAGAATTTTTTAACCAGTTTTTAAACGTTTGGTAGGGATATTTTTGACATTTTAGAGGTGTAGGATGAAAATCGGAAGATTGGAAGGTTAGATGCGGAAACACTCATCCCTTACTTTGGGTTACGAAAGCACTAAGACGTGACTAAATAATTATCCATTGTTAAGAGTAATTAGGTTGGTAATTAATATGTACATTTTTGTGTTGGTTTAACCAACTCAATGGCCATGTTTTTGTCTCCTTTACGTATTCATTTGGTAACGTCCACATGCCATTCATGAATTCATAGTGCAGAAATACAGGAAACGATCGACGTCATTAACTTCGATTTTATTCATGATACGTGTTTATAGTTTAGTATATGTAACGCGTTTGACTCTGGACTAGCTACTTGTTTTTCATCTCTTTGTATATTGAATTCAATTCTTTCAACTCTTAACGTGCTTGTGACGTCAAACTTCACATTCTTAGTCGGGGTCTGGTGGGTTTGTTAGAGTTGCATTTCTTTCTTTCAGGCAAAATATCACTCACTCTCTCTCTCTCTCTCTCTCTCTCTCTCTCTCTCTCTCTCTCTCTCTCTCTCTCTTAACAACCCATGAAGATTTCACAAAACAAGGACAGAATTTTGTCATTACTACAAGCCATGAAGGTCCTTAATTTTTTCGTTCCTTGAATTGCATTCTTTCAAAAGCATTGTTTCAAAACATGTAAATTAATATTGTATTTGATTTGCAGGGATCTCAGGTGGAGCTATGGTCAGTTTGGTTATCTGGGTTTGTCTTCATTGCTCTCTCTCTCTATGCCACTCAGAGATTACCTTCGTTGAAGGATCATAGCAGAGCTTCCAAAGATGTTATATTGGATTCCACAAGTATTACAATATTCACAGCTCCAAAACCATTTAAGGGCTCTACTGGGACCAAACAGAAACTTGCTCTTAGGTCATGGCTGGCTCTGTCTCCATATGTTACTGTTGTTTTCTACAGTCAAGATCCTTCCGTTGCCTCTTTTGCTGATGCTTTTGATTCCAGGGTTTTAGTTGACACTAGCATCGATTTTACGTAAGTAAACAAATTGGCCTCGTCCGCTAGAGGATAGTATTCTTGATTTGATATTCATTAGTTCTTCTGTCTGAAATTGATTCTGTTAAACTCAACACTTACAAAAACTAATTTACTTTTAATGCTTGTTTTTGTATATTATCATTGTAAAAGTTCTTGTATCGTCAACTTATTATATCTTAACTACTGCTTTATAACTATTAATTTTTATCCAGCTTCCTAGGTACTCCTTTTTTCCACTCCATGATTGCAAAGTCACGCTCATACACATCAGATTTATCTGTTATCGTTGACCCTGAAACCATTATCCTTTCTGGATTCATCTCCACCCTAAACCATGTGTATCAACTTGACCATGATTGGCTTCTTGTTGCTTCACCTCAAAATGTTTCTTCCTTCCCATTCCATTTGGATGATTCTGGGAAACATTGGCAGACAAGTAACGGGAAACGGATGAAGATCCAGAAGGTATGAAAAATTGAAAAACCTGGGAAAAACTACTCATTGAAAACACTTGTATGCTCAAGAAAACTAAATCGAATACTCCTTTCTTGTTCAGCTGCAGAAAATACTTCGACAGAATGGGCAGGGGAAACGTTGTTATACAAGAATGCTCATGGTGTGGAACAGCAAGGATGTGCCTCTACATGATGGAGTTCTTCCTCCTTTCTTGTATGGGAAAGGTGTACATAACAATTGGGTGATTCATGAGGCAATGTCATCTGAGTTCAGATTTGTCTTTGATGCTAGTTTGACCATCACAAGTTTCTATTTGAATGAAGAGGATGAATTTAGCAACACACAAGGAAATCCCAGTGCTCTAGATACTGAGAATAGAAATTGGGAGTACATTGGCAATTCCCATGTGGGGGCAAACTATGGATCATTCTTCTACAGTGAAGATAACTCTAACCTGGTCAAACTTTTGAAGTGCAATAAACAATACATTATGGTTGACACCAAGAAAAATGCTGTTTATTCAATTGGGCACCAGGGTGCAATGAACCTGATGAAGGAAAAGTATTTTCCATCTTGGTTAAAGGAAAATACAATGTATTGCATTGATCGTCAGAAACCACAGACTGCATCATTTGATTGCTCTGTTTAGGATCAGATTAAAATTCCAGCAACTCTGGAGCTTCCGTTCTCCTTAGAATCACTCCTGTCTATCACTGCAGACAAAAGTAAAACAGTTATAGTTACCGTTGCTGGATATAGCTACAAGGATATGCTCATGAGTTGGGTTTGCAGATTACGACAACTGTTTGTTCAAAATTTTGTTGTTTGTGCCCTTGATCAGGAAACTTATCAATTCTCCATCCTGCAGGTATGTGCTGTCCTGCTCTGCATAATTATATTTGTGCAAAATCAAGGCTTAATTAATTTCTAAATCTCTTACAAATTTTGATATTTTTAAATTTGTCCCTATTAAAGTTTTTACTCTAATTACTCAGTTTATATGTATTTTTTTTTTCGATTAAAAACACGACGTTTAATTTGTCCCTGAGATGGGTATGGTCACTGTTATATGACTTTTTTTAACAGTGATAGTTCCTTAATCGCGTTAGTCACAACATGGAAGACATCAAACAACATAAAATATTATTATCTTATAATAAAAATTACTTGTTTTACATCAATCATAATGATATTGATATTTAACCATATTTAATTGAAATATATAAATATTTTGAATATTAAATATATAGAAAAAATAATAGAAATTCAATTCAAAATACCCATATTTAGGAGGGATTTCAAACTTAACTATATTAGTGGGTCTTGACACTGTTACATCAAAATGAACAGCAAGAACCTTATTATGCGTCGTTCCCTTAAATGCAGTGTTAATCCTTTCAGGCTTAAGATAAGTTAGATGTAGCACTGACCTTCGATGTTTGAATAATTGAAAGCTCATTAACATAGCGATACGTTGTGTAGTTAGTTGACATAATTAAAATCTTGAAAGCTAAAATTACATAACGGGGAGATTTTAAAATTTGGAAAATCTTCTGCATTTTAATAGTTTTTAATGTTAAAAATATACCACAAATCATAAAAAAAGATATTAAAAATTGTCCAAGTATAAAAAAATATGGGTTGGGATCACATCTAATGTGGTAACCCTGTACAAACTCAGATATTTCATCTTATTATATTGCTTATGAAAGCTGTTTTAAGTTTAAATTTAAGCAGTCTTTCATCATTTGTGCACATGACGTGGATGCAAGCAGAAAAAACCTTGCTTAAAATTAAGACAAATGCATTCTTATGTTTCTAACTTATACACATTAGCTATGTTTGGTACAACGTGCAATTTATGAAGAAGTATAAGAAACGAATCTATCATTAATGTTGTTAACGCACTATATGCTATTTTTTGGCCAAATGGAAAACTATTAATGCAGGTTACAAACCAATAACGGTTCATTATTATTCTATTTGTGTTCAAATAATATAAATAATAATAATCCAAAAGAAGTTCTATTTGTGCTCATGCTGGCATTCCCTAAACGCTCTCAAAGCTTAATTAATTATATCAGTATAGTTATCATACTTTCTTGTATCTGAACGCAGTTACTCGCTTTCTGTTGAGACAGGGAATTCCAGTTTTCACTGATCCAACAGCTCCAAGTAACATCAGTTTTGATGACTGCCACTTTGGCACCAAGTGCTTCCAAAGGGTGACAAAAGTGAAGTCAAGAATTGTTCTAAAGATTCTCAAGCTAGGTTACAATGTACTTCTCAGTGATGTTGATGTATACTGGTTCAAAAATCCACTTCCCTTACTTCACTCTTTTGGCCCTGCTGTTCTTTCTGCACAGTCTGATGAATACAAAAAACAAGGTGCTTGCTTATTTTGCACTTGGAATTCATACTTTTCCAAACTAGAAACATAAAACATCCATTGCCATGATTTGAGTAAGAAGAGTATAAACCTATAGCAAATTTTCTATTCTGTGATAATTTATTTTGCACTGGTAATTATAGTTTTGGACTGACAAGTGAGTAAAAGAAAACTAGAATAAACACGTCAAATACTAATGTAAAAGACAGAAAGACATTCGAACATAATGTCTCACAGATTGGATGCAGATGTTTCCAAGGTTTCAAATATTCTTTTGCTGTCATTTGTGCAGGACCAATAAACCTACCTAGACGCTTAAACTCCGGCTTCTATTACGCTCATTCCGATACTCAGACAATTGCTGCTATAGAGAAAGTGGTAAGACATGCAGAAACTTCTGGCTTATCAGAGCAGCCAAGCTTCTACGACACGTTATGCGGCGAAGGAGGATCCAACCGCGTTGGTGACAACCAATGTGTGGAACCTGAAACAAACCTAACGGTACATTTCTTAGACAGAGACCTCTTCCCAAACGGGGCTTACCAAGAGCTATGGTGGGAAAAAGACGTGAAGGCAGCATGTTTGAAGAAGGGGAGTTACATGATCCACAACAACTGGATCAGTGGGAGGCTCAAGAAACTCGAGCGACAAGTGTTGTCGGGTTTATGGGAGTATGATCCTGGCACAAGAATGTGTCTGTGGTGCTGGCATGGCTCGGTATCAAACGCTGAAGTTAATTTTGAGGAAAGGGTTGATTCCTTCTTATCAAGTCTATGAATTTGTTTTGTCCTGACTCAAATAAAAGCCATTGTTTTCCCTTTGTTTGCACATGCCCCAACCTCGGACTCATCGCGCTATAGAGAAAGCCGGCCATAGGAAACTGAGAAGCATCTATGATGACTCTCTTTAAATAATACCTCTGTGGCGCACGCTCTTCCGCTACCCAGCTCTAGTTTCTAAAAGAGATGGTGAAACATTCAGAGAGCATAATAATAAGTTGGAAGTGCAGGCTATGCTGAAGCGAGTGGTTCATTCGTTAGGCCGGGTGGAACATAGAGAGAAAGGTTCCAGAAGGAAGAACCATCAGAGTGAAAGGGTGCCGTCGCCGGAATTGTACTCAAAGTCCAGGGATTTTGTTGTGAGGATAACTCACGCGGGTGGACATCAGGAACTGTATAGACATGCAGTTCCTGCGTCTAAGTTGATGACAAAGTATCCAGGGATGTGTGTTGCACGGCCAGAAGTGTTCAAAGTGCCTCATCAATCGGTGTTATGGAGAGAGGAGGTTCTGGTGCCTGGTCACAAGTACATCCTGATCTCTTTTAAAGACGTGGAGAAGTTGAAACGAAAAATTTCAGAGGGGTCTCCAAAGGAGAGAGTGAAAGTGGCGAATGGTGTAGCAGGCCATGAGACGCTGGATACAATCATCAATGGTGGAAAAAGTCACAGAGAGAATGGGAAAATGAAAGAGCCAAATGGAGTTGCAGGCCAAGGGTTAGAAAAAAGGACAAGTCTTTCTCCCAAAGGACAAGGGAGCAACAGTGTTGTGAAAGAGGGAATGGGGCTAGGTGTAGAAAAGATGGAGTCAAATGTGGATGGTTGTTTAGGTGAAGGAGGTGTAGAGGACTGTTTTTACTCTGCGAAGGACTTCTATGGCTGTAGGGAGAAGTCCATAACCCCAAGACCTTCAAGACGAAAAGGAATAAAAGGGAAGAAGCCTTTTGTGGCACCTCTTCCAAAGCCACGACCATATCGGACCTTGGGATGGCAACCTAGCCTCCCAACTGTGAAGGAACTCTCGCCATGATTTTGTGCTGTAGAGCTCTTATTCTATGGCACTTGCGTGCCATTGAATCACTCGTTTCTCTTCATGATCTATGGATAGCTGTTGCACCATTTTAATAAAATCAATACGTAATTCCCACCTTTGTTTTTTTTTTAATTGTATTGTTTCCTTGTGCATAAGGAACTTTGGCATGTGTATTAGACAGAAGAAGAAAAAATGTGAGCCATTTGCATAAAATTATTGCTAGCATTGGCGGAACTTCTCACAAATCTAACACCACAAATGAAATTGAGTTATCTCGTTATATTGAATCCAGGTATCTCCATCACATCCCATTTATTTATTTATTTTATTAAATTCATACTTTCATGTTTTCTTGAGATTGTTTTTTTCTAAGTGATCACCTTCTAATTCAGGCTCTGTTTAGGGTGTAGGATGTATTTCTCTTGTACTATTTTCACATTATATTACTCCATGGAATTGGGCTGGAGATTAAGATGTCTAATTGAATCACACAGTTCTATTTCAAAGAATGTTTAACGAGTGGATTTTAAGCAGAGATGGGGCAAAAAGGTTAAATGAATTCACTAAATACAGACCAATATCGCCGAATCCGTAACCTGTAAGCACAACAAGGAAGCTTATTAAAAACAATACCTTAGCGTGATAAAAGTAAAAGTCTAAAAATGCTGGAGCTGAGGAATGCTCCACTCATTTTCCTTCTTATTAAATTTCCATCCGAGATTAAATGAACATAGTAATCACAGTTTTGACATCCGAACATAAAAGATTCATCCCTTGCCAACTGAGTTAAGAATCTTCCATCCACGATGCGTGTGCAGCCACACCAATCCCCTCTTCTCCAATTTGTATTGCACAAAAACAATGCTATGAAAGATGGTAACAGTAAGTTGAATTAACCACCTATATAAGCTTTCATATCTCGGAATGCACCCTCATAAAACATAGGACAAAATCCTAGTCAAGATCCAAGTGTAGATGACTGCGAGAACAGCACCAACTGGAATAGTGACTATCCATGAAGCCACAATCTCCTTCACAGTTTCTGCTCTAACACTGTTTAATCCCCTTGCAAATCCAACACCCATTACTGCCCCTACTAGAGTATGGGTTCCAGAGATGGGTAGCCCCAGTTTTGAAGCAAACAGAACCACAGAGGCAGCAGCAAACTCAGCTGCAAATCCTCTGGTTGGAGTAAGTTCTGTAATTTTCTTTCCTATTGTAGCTATCACTCTGTAACCCCACATCATTAGCCCTGCAACTATTCCAAATCCTCCCCAAGCGAGAACATCAGTTGGAATGACAATCTCAGTTCCCATGGCACCACCTTGAAGGATAGCCAGTGCACCTGCCAGTGGGCCTATGGCGTTGGAGACATCATTTCCACCGTGAGCAAATGACATGAAACATGCTGAAAGGACTTGCATGTAACCAAAGACTCCATAAACTATTTCCAATTGAGCACCCTTTGGGCCTGCAACATCATCCAGGAATCCTATATTGTGGTGGACAGTTTCTTCTTTTGGCTCAGGCTTTGGAGTATTTGCCTTGACAAGAAGATGGCCCAGCTGCTTTCTGATGATTCTGTCAACCAGAAAAGCACCAACAGTTCCACAGACTAAAGCTTGTGCCAAAGCTAAAGGAAAACTCTTGCTAAGGGGAAACGCAACAAATGAAATCCCAGTAACCCCCAGAAATACAGCAATTGGTGCGGCGGCAGCGGCTGCTAGTCCGGGGTTAGGTGCACTGTATACAAACTGAACGGGGGAAAGATTAAGAGCAGGAATTCAGCATATTTTCTGATTGACAACGTTAAATTTTGAAGTTATAATTTTTTTCAAGCCAAACAAGTTTCGATAATGAATCCAAATAGTGTCAATAATAAATCTTCAGCACAAAATATTTTAGTTTAATTTTGATGTACTCCTCACATATATAGACAATTTTTACACTGCTCCAGTCATCTTTGCCGGAGAATAGAGAAATAAGTTAAGTGAGAATAAAATGGAAGACTGAAAATAGGCAAGAAATAAAACGAAGGTAAAAGTGTTTGGTTGTAGAAAAATAGAAAAGTCATATGGAGAGACTAAGATGAGTAAAAATCAGTGAAAAATAGTATAGTAGATTTAAAATTATTTTTCTTTTCTGTCTTTCCTACCAAATCCGTATTAGTTTCATCCTCTCCATCCAACACACCGGTAAGGCGTTTGACAGTTGATGTCATTAAACTCGTTAAACTATGAGATGTCACATACAGTTTAAACTTTTTTCCAATCAGAGTGCATATACATTAAAATCAAATAATTTTGAACCGAAATAACCTTTCTTTTGAAATTTGATTACTTTTTCCTAGTCTGCCATTGAAATCGAATAGGAAAACGTTAGAACCCTGAAGACAGCATGTTGGATTCAAGAGTTTACCCTTCGGATGCACTTGTAGACAAGAAATGATACAGCTGCTCCCATCAGTGGTGACACCACCCACGAAGAGATCACCCTTGCCAGTGAACCCCAGAAAACAGCTCCAGCACCTCCATATACTAAACCAAACCCCACCATTGCTCCTACTATACAATGTGTAGTAGATACTGGCCAACCATAATATGATGCAAACTGCATAGAGCAAAACAATAAATAGATGTTCAATTTCATTGGATTGTTTGAATATATATAAACAAAACATTACTCTTGATTTATCTCTTGAACAAAGCAATATGTTCAAAGCCCAGGTTCAGATTGGTAGTACTATGTTCCGGTTGGATAAATTTCTTCGAAAGTAATTGTTGACAACAAAATTTTACGAGTGCAAAAGAATTTATCCCCTCGTTATTTATATTAAGCAATGAGCATCTAACACCTGTTGCTTCAAAGTCTGATCTGTAAAGAAACAAAGGGTACGAGCCCTGATGACTCCGAACAAAGGGTCATAACCCTTAATATTTTAGGAATTCAAATACATATTAGACATAATTAAACAATTGATATAGGTATCGATAAAGATTGATTATAATTACCGCATAAACAAAGATTAAGGTGATTGGACAAGAGGTAAGTGTACACGAATCCCAAATCCACTAAAAATAGTATAAAACATTTTCCATTTATAACAAATTCATTATTTTACTTTTTTTTTGTTAATCATATAACTTAGGTCACATAATCTTTTGAACTAACATAATTACCAAATTACACCTTAAAAGATTTATTTGAAAGTTTACTAAATTTGGTTACTCCGTTTAAATTAAACGTGACAATCTTGAAACACGATATAAAATAGCCAAGAAGCTTAGAGTTCATTCTGATTAAATTAAATATTTCTTCTAATCAGAAGGTTTTAAACTTCAATCTATAACCGCAATTACGCGCGCATTTGTCTATAAGTTGAGTAACTACAACAACGACAATAGTTTAATACCTCTGTTGTCATTTGATTCTACCTGATCTTATGAGCAATACCATGCATAGTTGTTGAGGGAGAGGATTTTCAATGAGGACATTATGTTTCAATTTCATTTTGCGTTTTGAATGAGAAGATAATGAAAGAGAGTGGTGGTTTTGTTTTTGTTTTTTATTGCTTCTTTTACCTGCAACCAAGTGCCAGCAGCAGCCAGAGAAGAGAGCAAGCCAGCGAAGAGCAGAGTATCTTTCCCATTGAACACATTGGCCAACAGAATCCCTTTCTGCATAGTGTTTGTCACGTGCGACCCCATCAACAGCGCCCCCGAAAACTCCAACACCGCCGCCGTCAGCACCGCCTGCCTCAACGTCAGCGCCCCCGACCCCACCGAGGTCCCCATCGCGTTCGCCACGTCGTTGGCGCCAATGTTCCACGCCATGTAAAACCCGAACAGCAACGTTGCGTACGACAGCACCCTCGTCTTCACCGCCAGCCCCGGCCCCAGCGACTTCATCATCAGCGGGAAGCTCAGCACCGCCAAAGCCATGCATATCGATATGGCAGACGCGGTTCCCGAGGATATGTCAAAGGCCTTTGCAAGCCCATCCACCTCATCGCCGTTCGTCGCTCGCACTCCCTCCTTCCGCCCCTCCGCCTCCCCTTCGGCGAAAGAAGACAGCGTGGCAAAGCGCTTGGCGGCGCTGAAGTGCCTGAACCTGAGAATGCTGAGCGAGGAAGGTTTTAGTGGTATCGGCGGTGGCGGCGGGGAGGGAAGGAGAGTGTTGACGCGGTGGGAGTGTCGGAGGAAGAGAGGGGAGGTGGCGTGAGAGTTACGAAGGAAGGGAGTGTGTTTAGCCGAAGCGAAGCGACAGGAGGGATTCATGTTAATTGAGGAACGAAGAATGATGTAGAAAATTGTGTGTGAGCTTGGAATTTGTGTTTGATTATTCGTTGAGATTAAGGTTGTGGTGGTGATGGTGGTGGTGTGTGAGGACAAGGGAGGGGAATGTGGCAAAGAGCATAGCGAAGTGAGGGTGCGTTTGGAAGGTTGGTTTTTTGGTGGAGGGTAATGAGTGGTGATAGCTCATTCTCTGCGTTCTTTCCAAACATATATCTCTAGCCACCAACTATTTGTCAGAAAACTTATGGTTCAAAATACGAAGACAAATTCCCTCACTCCATTATCTTCAACCTAACACACTCTTCTACATGTGCTGTCTCAACGTGTTACACGTGTACAGATTGGCTTCTAACCACTTCAAATGTTCCACAAAACAACACTATTGCTTCAAATATGTAGATAATGAATGGTCAATTTAGTAAGATTCTCCAATATTCCATTGCATTCAAGATACTAATTCAGTTATTAGGAGCCTCGAAACAGTTGCAACTTTCCTTCTGTAACTTTTTAACCACATTTCTCCTCTTTTTTTACCCTGTAAAGTACAATACCAATAATTAGCTTCCTCCTTTGTTTGCTTCCCCATTTCTTCACGTGCTGCTTTGTTAGAAGAAGTTGTTGTAATAAATGTGACACGAGCTTCAATCGTGAAACAGAGAGTATAAGATTAAGGTACAAATAAGTATTTATTGTCGGAAGTTATTTTTATTTTGCATAAATATAAGAAATTTATACTATTTTTAGTGAGAAAAAGAAGTATCATCAATAAATACTTCAGTAACACTTGAGATTTTATTTATTTTTAAATATAAAACTTATACTATACCAAGGATGAGATATCTCCAGCTCTATTTTCTCAGTAATAATTTTGATATACTTTTCAAAGTATAAAAAATGGGGTGATTAATATTTTGGTACCATTAAACTATTGTGTGAATTGCTTTCGAAAAAAAAATAATCAATACATTATT